GTTAGAACTTTAGGACTTTATAGGTATTGATTATGTGCTAGAGATTATATGGATCACACAGTTATGTGTATTGTCATTTTTTGGGATATTAATACATGGTTTTATTTACAATTAAATATTATATAATTAATTACCTTGGTATTTGAGCAAACACACACATTAAGTATGTCAGTGGGCATGATTGACTCACTCACACGAGCAATTTCCCTTGGCACTTGAGATGGTGAGCAAAGATGAGATACTCTAGCATATAGGATTGCTTTATTTTGTATACATAATGAGATCTAACATTTGAGGATAGATAATGGACTCAAATGCATGTCCATTTATGTATGTGTTCATTAATTAGCTAGATCCGAGATCTTAATTTGGTGTATTTGGAAGGCGAGCAAATAGAGAACTTAGGTTAGACGCTTTTAGAGGGACTAGACTAAGATTTGTACGGTGTTTAAGTATGACATACTCTCTCATTAAACTTACACTCCACTGTACCCTGTATTTCATAGTATATGTGCTTGGTGATCAATTAAAGAGGTGAAGGAATGGATCCTTGCTTCCTTATTGTGTGAGTTCTAACCAGGTTATTTGTATAACCAAACATTATATGTACTCTCTGACTTTTAACTATGTCGTAAAGTGAAAAAATTAAGACTCAACTACTTTAGCATGTTACTTATGATCATGAGTGATTCGGTCTTCTAGGACATTGTTGGGAAAACGGTTAATTCTCAACTAAGTGACATGAGGGCGAAAGGAAGACCATTTGGAACATCTCGTGATATATTCATTGTCGATAATTTTGGGCGCTAGTTTAGATAGTGACAAAGTGTGAATGTATAAGTGAAAGTTTTGAGGGTTAAGCATGTTCTTATCTTGTGAGGGATTAGAGATGCTTGAATCGGTGCATTCGAATGGGTCTAGTGTACTTGAGACACCATTTGTATTTTTTTTTTAGAATTGATGTCTCTATATTGGCTCTGTAGAGTTTCTAGTGTAGAGCTCCTAAATTGTAGGTGTGCTCAGCGGTTGCACGACCCCATAAGACTGTATGAATTGACGCTGATATATATAATGGATTGAGAGAGATGGTAGTGTCGTACCCATCATGAGCGAGTGAGAGATGTTAGATATTGGGTTTGGGTGATGAATCCAAACCGGTACTCCTATGATGGGTCGATCCAATTAGAGAATGCCCAAGGGACATGACTCTTGAAGGAGTCCTTTACAATCAAGGGATGTGCTTGTTAAACCACTAACAATCATGTCCTTCTCTAATGCACTCATTGATTGCCTAAATAAATTCTAAGGCAACAATAGAACATCATTAGAAAAACTTACGTTAGATTCTCTCTCTTTTTACATCTATACTACTAATAAAAGTACACTATTAAGAAAACAATTTATTTAACTATTTTATCTCTACAAGAAAACATAATCACAATATTAACCATATTTAATCTAAAACTCTTTTAATAGAACTTGATTAACATTAAATTTTGTTGGACTATTTTACTCTTAAAATAAAGCATCAATGCAATATTAATCTTATTAATACGAAATTCATATTAATACAAATTCATTAGTATTATACATATCCAAACTTTTCATCTAACTTTTAAAATGTAAGTTTAACTGTTAAAAGGAATTAGACTTATTTTTATTAGTTGATGATCAAACTATGAATAAAGACATGTTAGAGCATTATTTATTATAGAATTTATTTTAATGTATCGTCAACAATAATATCAAACCCTAATTTTTCATCTTCTTCTATTTTAGAATTTTAGTATCAATGCATTCTCTTATTCGCAACACTAGCGTAGGGTTGTTTTTACTTTTGCCTCATGTAGTTGCTTCTACACCAGTGTACAACAGAGTAACCCATGTTGGGGGTGATATGTTCAAGGCCATTCCTCAGGCTAATGCGATCCTGATGCAGATAAAGGCTCTCTCCTAATTAAATAACAAAATACAGTTGCAAATAAATCGTCAATTAGGATCAGTGCAGATAAAAACTAATTCATATATTCAGTCTTTTATCAACTAGTAATGCACCACATTCGTTGCATGTGAATAATTTTTTTTAAAAAAATAATATATATTTGGTATAAGTGTACTTGAATTAAATATCATCTCAAATTTATCAAACTTATTTTTTCATTTCTCATGCTCCATTACAGAATTTTTGAAAACTTTGTATATTTTTAATATTTTTTGTTCTAACTTTATGTAAAATAATAAAAAAGAAAGAATAATTAAAGTTTTATTTTGTTTCTATAATTTTGTAATTGAAAGTGATTTTTTAGTGATGTTTGAAAATTAAATTTTTTTAAAATTAATTTGATTAAGATTCCACTTATAAATCATTGAATAAAATAAAAATAATTACTGATGGTGCCCTAAAATGCTCAGCCCAAGTCCAGAACAATGTTAATAAGATGGGGGAGGGGGGGTAGTGTAAATCTCTAAGTTAACCGAGGAAAATGGATGATGAAGTTGGATCAAAGATAATATATGAGTGGTTCACCCTAGCCGACAGACCAGGGTTACATCCACTGTAATGGAAGCTCCTGCTCCGTAGGGTTTCTATTGCTTGAGAAAGAAGAGAATTATAGTAGGTTTATTAGCTTAGAGCTAGTGTGAATAGGGAATTGTGAGTACAAGTTTTTCTGATGTATCTCCCTTTTTTTACATAACGTGATGGTATTCTATTTATACAAGTAGTTTTCTAGGATTTTCTGTGATCTTCTTATTCTCTCGGCTGATAAACGTGTCTTTATTTATAGTTTGATCATCAACTAATAAAAATAAGTTTAATTTCGTTTAACAGTTAAACTTACATTTTAAAAGTTAGATGAAAAGTTTGGATATGTATAATACTAATGAATTTGTATTAATATGAATTTTGTATTAATAAGATTAATATTGCATTGATGCTTTATTTTAAGAGTAAAATAGTTCAACAAAATTTAATGTTAATCAAGTTCTATTAAAAGAGTTTTACATTAAATATGGTTAACATTGTGATTATGTTTTCTTGTAGAGATAAAATAGTTAAATAAAATTTTTTCTTAATAGTGTACTTTTATTTGTAGTATAATGTATCGTCAATAACAATATCAAATCCTAATTTTTCATCTTTTCTATTTTACAATTTTAGTATCAATGCATTCTCTTATTCGCAACACTAGAGTAGGGTTGTTTTTACTTTTTTTATTTTTGTTGGATGATGACTAATACTAAAAATGTTCATGATTAAATTAATCTACTTATCGCAACTAACTTAATTACTTATTTCATTTCTACAACCTAACTTTCTTTTAATTGTGTATGATTGTGGGCACTAGAACTTAAAGCCATTTTCTTTATATATATTTTTACAATTCAATAAGTGTTCGTATTTTTGTTTAGTTTATATATATATCAGCATATCATAATATGTATTTGTGTCATTACAATGATATTGTAAATATAATTAATCTAAATTATTAGTTTCATGTCAAAATTTCTAAATCTTAGGAGACAGTTTTATAAGAAAATAATTACTCAAAACTGTAGCAGTTAATAGAAAAAAAATAAAAACTAATATTCTTTCTGACAGTATAAATCATTCGATTTGTGGCAAGTTTACTACATTGTTCAATTCATAAGTATTTATAGGTTGTTATATTTACATAATTATTTTAAAAAATTATAAAAACAAAATTAAAACAAAAATTATAATTTAAAATAATTATTGTGCAAAGCACGTGTGCATGATCTAGTAACGTTGAAAAGCTTTTGTGTTGTGAAAAATTTGGTGTTGATTCCTATTGTGTAATAACACTATATCGTTTGAGCAAACAAATTAAAGACAATTTTTTCAAATTCTAAAGAACGTGGAACATCTTGAAAAATTTTGGGATTAAAGCGAATTAACTTTGATCTTACGCTCCTACAATAGTATACGATTCAAAACATCTTGATTGACGTGAACCTTATTGCTAGCTCTAATTTTTTTAATATTTATTCTTATAATTTATTAATTCATAAAACTCTCACAATCTGTCCTTAATCATCATTATTTTTCTCTTGTAGTTAAATATAAATAAAAACTTAAATAATATACTCAACAATGTCGCACCATATCACATGCTCTTAAAAGGTACCTTCAAAATTTTATTGATTTTTGTTATATGTTTTGTACATTTACCTCTTTGCGGACCTCGACTGGCGTGAGCCTCATTGCTAATCCTCATTTTTTATGTTCTTTATAAAAGTGAAAATTGCTAGAAATTTAGTGTATTCTTTTTCCATGAAACTATCTTCAACAGAATATGTAAAATTTTAAAATAACTAAAATTTAACTAATCAAAGACAAAAATTATGCTTCAACAGAATATATTCAGATACTCTAAAGTACATTTTTGCTAAACCGGTATTTAAAAATAAAGTATTACTATAGGAATTTGTATAAAATTTTATAAATTTTTTCTCTTCCTCGTGTCTTTCCCCCACTTCTTTGTCTTTCCCTCCATCCTTTCTTTCGCTCCATCGTTTGTTCTAACAAAGATACAAAATATGTAAAATAATATTTAAAATATAAAAAATTTATTAAAGTGTATATTAAAAAAATGAGTAGCTAAAATAAAAAAAAATACTTTTGATAGCTAAAAATAAAATACAAAATCTTGTTAAAGATGCTCTAAGGACCTAGATGAGCAAGCAAAAAAAAAAAAAAAATCCTATTTGCTTGTATTTATGTGATTTAAATTTATTTTTTTTTTCTGACTTTTCGGTTTTTTATTTTTATTTTAGATGCAATACTATAGGCAGAAAATAACTATTTTTTATTATTATTTTCTTCTTCAACATAAATGACTTTCTTTTTTTTTTTTTAAATTACTACTACTTAACAGAAGCTCGTGAGTCAAAAAACAACTTCTTTTAGGTGATTTTATCATTCTTTCCTTCTCCGCCGTCGACGAATCTGAAATTCGGCCGGCGATTGGTGAAGAAAAATGGGTACGGGGTTCGTCATCGGCGTGCTTGGAGTTCTGATCCTTTCCCACGCGGCCTACTCTACCATACAGTGTACGCTCTTCTCTCTTTCTGCACTAAATTGAAAAATTAGGGTTTCTCTGTCGTCTCAATCAATCAATCTTTTTTTTTTTTTGTCTTTTGTTTTTTTTTTGCGTTTTAAATATCAATTTGGTTATATTTGTTTTAATTGCAGATAGAGCGTTGCTTAAGATCACAGAGGAGGAGTTCTCTGGACCCCCTATCAACGTAATCTATCTCTTTCCCATGGAATTTTTTGTTTGGATATTTTATTATTAAATTATATTTATGCACATATAGTTCCATGTGTGAATTTGTTGGTGTTACTGTGAATGTTTTTGGTATTGCAGGTCGTATTGGAGCTGATTTTTGGATTGATTTTGTGCGTGTGGGCTGCACTGACTGTGCCAGGGAAGTTTTTATCTATACTCCCTGATTCAGATGAGAACAGGTGCAATTAAGTTTTGATGTTTTGTCTATAGTTGTTAGTTACTCTATTTCGTCACAAGGCTGTTGGAAATAATGATGCTATTAGATATTGGAAGCTTTTTTAAAATCTAATCGTGATTTGAGTGGACATAGGGAAATTGGTGAATTTATAGCTCCATATACAGAGAATAGAAAGAATACATGGCCCTAGATATAATAGAATGTCGAGTCAAAGTTCATGTAGTTGACCAAAACAATTATATAGTGCCCCATCCTTACATCTAACAAAATTTATGCCAAGAATAATTGGTTCAGGTTAGTAAGTTAATAATAGTTGTTAGAAACATTGGTGAGCCCTGGTAAAAACATCTTTTTGCTGAGGCACTCTTTGGGGTGCCTAGGTGGTCTTCTGACACTAACGTACATACAATTGACAGGTGCCACAAAACAAATGAGTTGTAACAACTGTTTTTTGGTTTTGTTCCAACTCTTTCGTACATCTTTTGGGAAGTTGTTTTGCAGTGTTCTCATAGAAATTTGCAGCGTAA